AAGTTTCTGTAATAGTTCGTTTTTKATTAAAAACAAAATAAGAATATCGGTTAAAGATAAATTTATTGTATATCCAATGTTGTAATTCAAATGCTTATAAAATTTAATTTGACTTTCCGGTAGACAATCTCTATTTGATAAAAGTATACAAACTCATGAAGAATCTTGTATTGAATTTTCAAACCTTAGATTTAAAAATAAATTTTTCTGAATATCTAACTCGTAATGAATTGCAAATTTTCGTGATTTTTACGTATTTTGTCAAAATTTGAACTTTAAATGCTTATTAAGGAGCCTTGTATTAAATTTTCMAGCTTTTTTACCAAATGGATAAAATTTTACAGTAATTTATAAAAAAWAAAAATAAAAATTTCGAAAAATTTTAAATGTCTATTTATAACTTAAAAATTTTTTAAATATTCTTAAAGTTTTATCATTTATAGAAAATGACAGTACAAACATTCAATGAAAATCTCGTATGTCTACGGTAATTTTTTTTAGAGTTACACCAATATCAAAATTCGATTTTCTCAAAAATTAATTTTGCGTAAAAATTTCCGTTTTCCCTCAATTTTGTTTTTGTTTTCCCAGTACTTTTGAAAACTACTGTGAAATTTAAAATTTAACCTCCTCAATACACCAACTAGATTCACTTTCAAACTAGAAAATCTATTGAAATTAAAATCGAAACATTATTTCAACAACTTATTGTGTACACACACACACAACATTGTAAAATCAATACATACATCGCTCCGCTCAGAATCTAAAATGCAAGTTGTCAGTCTAAAARGTGATACACTTTTCTTTCACGATATTTTAAGATATTAAACAGTATACGATTTAAAATAATGTAAAAAGTATATTTTGAAAAACGATAATACTTTTTGACACATCTATAACTGCAGTTTACCGTTAAACGAATCRCCCAATTTACAATAATACACGGTTTATTGTATAATAATTCATAATATATAGTGTTTATAGTGGTGAATCGTGTATTTGACGTTCGTAAATGTTTTACGTATTTCCCTTTCAGAAATTAATATTRAAAAAATTAAACAAATGAAACATATCGTTCGTTTGTTTACTATATATTGTGTATAAATGTATTGACCTGTAAAGTAGTCGGTTAATTAGATTTACACCATGTAACGTCGAGCAAAAATAACACGACAGAACAAAGCAGTAGGTACTTAGTACAAATGAGAAAAATAAAGAAGCCGATACATAAATTGTTATATTAATACGCGAACCTGTCTATATATTATTATCATCTGTACTCGACTAAATCAATATTATTCGCGTCGATTACATGCTCAAATATTAGTTACAGTACGTAATTAAAAGGATACACTGTGTTTCAATAACTACTAACGTGTCAACATAATAAATGGATACAATCGCAATGAACCGTATTTGTGGCAATTCGGTTCAAAACTGCGACGATGACAGTTATTAATATTTTATAAACAACATGTCCACAGCATTCTCGTGTTTTTCTTGTGCTATAATACAATACATACTTAAAGTATTACTACTATCGATATTTTTATGCGCCYATGCAATATTTTAATTTCAACACGCCACGAGTCATGACAAAATATCAATACATTTTTTTCAAAACAGTACCTACATATACCAAATTTCCAAAGTGGGATGCTATAACGTCATAACCATAAACAACAACGTAATATATTCCCAGTCCACATAAATATCATATTGCATATTATGAAATATAAATTCTACGGTTTACACACTTTTGGTTGTTATAACGAAAAATTATTATACACTCCGCTGACACAGTGCTCTCGTATCTTACTACATCCCGTATATTATGGAAACTTAAGCATAATATAACATCACAATTTTAGGAATTTTGACCCAGTAAGGACCAATGAGAGAATACTTGTTGGRGGGTAGGGAATATGTATGATAAATTATACATCATAATATTATTATATTAATTATAAGTACCTACCTCTAGTTTAATTTATAAAATACATATTTGTTACGGTAACTTAATGAAAATTAATTTATCATGAAACAAAACCTATCGTTTTTTTCTTCTGTAGGGAACAGAGTATCTCAAAGGAAATGTATAGACACTGAAACAGATTTATGTTTCTATAATATCGACACCCTTTTTTTAATTAATTTTTAATCAGATGATTTTAACGTTGATTAATTCAACTTTTAATATATTCTAAGGAATAAATAATGATCATTTATGATGGTTTAAAGACATATGATAATCTTGAATGATTTGAAAATGTTATTAAAATTACAAAACTAATTTAAAACTTTACGATTTGTAAAAAATGAAGAAAGTTATATCATAGCCGAAAATAACAAGCTCAAAAAGTTCAAAAAATATAAACTAAATATAATGTGTATTTTAAATTCTGTGTAAACACTTAACATAGGCATAACTTTCGTAGTATATAAAGTTTTATAACAAATCAAATTTTGATTTAGATGCTTCAATTTATTCAAAAAATTATCCGATCAACAATTTACAGTAAAAAAGAACAGTTCTCATTTGAAAAAAAGTGTGTGTTTTAATTGTATCATTACCTATAGAATATACCTCAAATGGCAAATAATAATAATAAAAATGTAAGCATACCTATTTGAAAATATATGGTGTTTTAGTGGTCTATTTGAAAATTCAAAAAAAAAAATGTTGATCTTTAATTTCAGAATTTAAATAAATGTATATTGTTATATGATAGAGGGAAGGGAGTGCATACCAAAGTGTATATACGTTGTGCAGTATTTATCAGAATATAATGTTTATTTATATATTTCATATACCTAAGTATAATTCTAAAACCCTGAAACTTTTTATTCTAATCCTATTAGTTATAATGTTTAAATTTTCAACAGAAAATAACAGAAGAGTGGCAGAATTTTTGAGAAAATCTATCTCTTTCCGAAAAATTGAGAAATGCAAAATTATTAATACAAAATTGATTTATCCTACTGGCACAAAACGTATAGAGGAAGTGACCATCACTCGTACTAAAATAGGACACTCTCGCCTAACACATACTTATCTTATCAAAAAGGAACCAAAACCAATATGTGATATATGCAATTTAACCTTAACAATAGAGCATATTGTCATCATCTACCCCAAATTCACTAAAGCTCGTATCAAGTTACTCAAAAACCTTCTTTCACTCAAAAAGATTTCAAATACGAGAACACTACTTCAATCTGTAAATTTTTCCACAGTATAAATTTAACCAATTCACTATGAATATAATGTATTTATTACTTGTACTAAAAATTAAAATTAATTATACAGAAATTTAATCTGTCAACATTTTGTTTAAATGTATATGTAGGCTAAAAACCTGTGTTGTTGAAGTCTTATATAATAATAATAAAAAATAATAAATATTTTGAGATAACTTTATTTTAACAATTGATGTAAAAAAATTGATATAAGCTTACAGACATTCAATATTTTATACACGCCACTTTACTAATTGAGATATACTTCATAACTATGGCATTTATTAAGCGGTTCATAAATTAAATTAAACTTATTTTCAAAACTAATCACGCATACGTTCGTAAATTCACTTTTATGTCGAGTATACTTGCCTATATTATAATAAAAAAAAAAGAAGAAAAGTCCGACGAAAACGTGAATTCCTTATTGAATGCGCCGTTCACTCGATTCGGTGAATTGAACGTTTTTATTTACGAACCACAAAATTTCGAATCATTTATCATACAACATCTTAATATAGGTCGGGGTATTGTACTTAGTGAGCCCGTGTACATTTTAAAGTAAAAACGGATTCGAAAGAGATGAAATTATATATTTCGTTCAAATCGAATAACGATAATTACGTTTTTCTACGGGTAGACACACTATACATATTAGTTAATTATCTGCTTCCAAAAACAATGAAACGTTGATTTTGAACGTGTGCACCGCCCAGCACGTCTTCCGTGAGCGCGTGACATAACTTTTAAACCAATCATAAATACATGAAACCGAAACGTGAGCTCCTCCAACACCTTATTTCCGCGGAATTATGAATAAAAGTAAATTTAATTTTTTTTCTCAGTTCTTTGAAATAAAAACAAAATATAAATTACGGACAAGATATACTGAACTATAGTTATGACTGAAAGTTAGAGCCTACGAATAGCTTCGCTCATGTCTGTGCGCGACACTGCGTGCTAAAATATATTACTATATTTTTAAAAACAAAAACTATGACATATATTATGTAAAAACAGTCATTCGGTTTAATGTAAAGCATTTTTACAATTTTAAATAATAATAAAAATGATTAGATACCATTAGTTACAAAGTTTGCCATTTATATATTTAGGCGCAGTGGTGAAGTGAAAGGAGTTTCGTGGCACTTAGGTGTCATGGAAGAGATTTTTTTTGGGGGGAGGGGGGGAGAGGGTGTTAGAAGATGGTTAGATAGCTTATGGTAAAGAATAACATAAAAAAAAAACTAAAATATTTGTATTCACATACTAATTATATCTACTATACCTACGTATGTTATATTAAGGTGATTAAGAGTGTGCGGGTAATGAAAATATATATGCTGTGCATCATGATTTATTAATGCTCACCACGCCACTATCTATAAGTACTTAATACAGACATTTTGTTGTGATTAATTAAGTTAATACTATAAACGCTCGCCGGAGCAATAATGATTTATTCGTAGATAGGATAACATAATATTATAATTAAATCCTGAACTCTTGGTAATTTTTCGAATTTTTTTCGGGAAATTAATAAAACTACTGAAAAAAATATTTTAAAAGCCTTTTTCATTTATAATAATATTATAATTACTGGGTATGAATAATTTATTGCCTATAACGGAACGTGTTGATCTTTTGGAGCAGTCCATCGGACCATGAAGATGTTTAAAAAAAAATAAAAAATGTTTTTAAATAAATATCATTGTAAAACCCAGAATATTCAAATRAATTTATATTATTGTTCCAGGAACGGGTATCCTTAATTGTGCCATGGATTGTCGGTCTCATAACTTTCATGGCACTCGAAGCGGTTGCCATTGTTTACTCGAACGTACTCAGAGACCATGTAAATAAGGTGAGTTATGAACATGAACTCGTATATATCTAATATATATAAAAAGTAATATCGTAGAAATTACTTGACTTCTACAAAAAATATAGAGAATATAATATAATATTGTATTAACCAAAAATTAAATCATTTATTATTTCTAGAAATTCGACTCGTTCTGCAAAATCGAAGTGACCTTTTACCTGATACGGGCAGTACTAAATGTAAGTAAGCTCATTAAATATTATTTGTTAAAAGTCAATATGTAATTTAACCCATGTACCCATTTAATTATTTCGTTAAAATAACAGTTTTTAAGGCATTTGCAGAAATGTCCGTTTTTGTAGTAAAATAGAATAACGCGTATAAAAGTATTTGTTTCATTGTGCATATATAATCATATTATATAACATGACAAATAAGACAAAATATAGAAGAAAATGTTGGGCTAGGAAACTTAAACWGTCAATATTATGCATTACATATACCTATTCAATGTAACTGTTRGTATTTACTAGTATTTAAACAGTATAGAAATAAAATATTAATGCCTTGAATCATTAAATATTAAAAATCATTAATTCCAGTTTGAAAAAACGTACTATTATACTGATTTGTATGGTGGCAGAGRAATATGTCATATTTATTCTCGTATTATATTACACTAAAAATATATACAAAGAAAAGAATTGATACAAAAATTAAATTTATTAAATGTGTATCATGAGGAGAAAAATATGCATTGTAGGTACTATGCATATAATCAAATTCATACCTAAATATTTCAAAATAATACCTTTGTAAAACTATTGACAAATAAAAAGAAGTACCTACATAAGCTAGTGAATTTTATGAATAAGCCTATCCTCTGACACCCAACACCGCTGCTAAAATAAATGCAATTTTACGTTTGGCTTTATCTCACATACAATAGTACCTAGTTCACAATAAATGTCATTTTATTACATAAAACGATTAATCTTCACACATAACGCAAAATAATGACTCTCGCAAASTAGTAATTAACAAGAACTAGGATACTGYTTATGATGGTTTCGTACTCTAATATAACTGAATTTATTTTCTCGAAAAATGGCCAAATTATCTTCACARCCCTACAATGCTAATAAATTTTTGATCACCGATCCGACATGCTTCGTCATTGTCACTATTATTGAGTACTATACCTAACACTGTATCAGTAAACCTATTTACTCAAAAATTAATAATAAGAAAAATAATTTATAGTATATGTCTGTTATTGATTCAGCTCATTTCTAAATAGTTTGTGGGAAGTGTTGTGAATGAGGATAATTTAACTAATATTCTAACATAGATATTTTCTTTTTTTTTTCCATTAGAATCGTAAATCTTTTCTAATTCAACAATGCCTTTAGCTATTTAATTTATATATTTTTATTATTATTTACACTATATTTTTGAATTAATCTGTTCAAAAACTTAAAAATGTATTCATATGATCCGTATAGGGTGCGTTAATCGTGAGGATTAGTAATTTTACCATCGTGAAAGTGATAGTATAATTATGACTATATTATTAATATCGTTTTCACAGATTTAAATATCAGCTGGTCTTTTGGAAATGAATTATGTTTAAGCTGTGAAACTTCTATATGTGGACAACTAAGTTTCGCACAGTGACGTATTACATTAAGGACGGTGGAGGCCGATTTACTCAGATGGCACTTGCCACTTTTGTAAGGGAGACGCATTTTGTATAGGCATACTCGTATTATTAATTATAACCATCATTATTATTCGAGCTTATTATTTTTTCTAACCATTGGAAATTCAATTCCACTACATTGCACATTGAAATTTTTTTTTATTAAATTGTTTTCTTTTATATAAGTTATGTATTGATTGAAATGGATTTGTTGATTTTTATTCCTATTAAATTATATGGTATACATAAAATTAATTTTTATCRCCGAGATTAGTGTTTATAATCAACTACCAAAAATGGGACTTAAAAATCAGTATAGCAATAGTAAATACTCAATATTTCAAGTATATTAAGATACCTACTCAATACTCAAAACTTGATAGTTGCTGCATAAMAAAAATTTAATTTAGTAACTATATTAATTTCATTTCCTGTATCATATATAAATGTTTTTACACTATAATCTAAATATTTTAAATATTCATAATAATATATCATTAATGAGAAAAGCTATAACTAGCAGCCGATAAGTAATCATAAAAGATAAGTAATGTTTTATTTTATTATATGAACAAACATAATTTAACAACTMTTTTATGTCATACTATTATAATGTTAACATTTAATTTTAATAATAATCAGTGGTTTTTCAAATTTTAAAACACATCCCATCCAAAATCAATATGGGATAATCAATTTAATTTATATTTCATACAATAATATGTTTTACAGTAGTGGACTGKCCAGGTCGGTGAGACGGCGATGACCAACTGGGCCTCCTCCAAATTTATTAAAAAAATATATGTTTAATGCGTGGGGTCTTCCTAATCAAACATAAATAAAGGTACCCTTTTTTTTTAACTGACCAAGTAATGTGTACCCAGGCCACCACTGATGTTATTTATAGATACACCACTACAAAGTCCAAACGTCTGTCTTACACGAATTTTTGATTTCACGTTCCGATCTAGTGTGTGAATATATAGCAGGGGCGTATTTAGATTTTTTTTGTTGTTGGGGGGGGGCTGTGGTGTTTTCTCCAACT